ACCATACTTGTCCTTGGGCATCAACTAATTCATCCCAACCAGAATTTTTGATGAGTTAAGTGTAAATGAATCAGTAACATACGAATTGCATTTGAAATACACATGGGATTTAAAAAAAAAAAAAAAGAAAAAAGCCAAAGGAAAAAAGCACTTGGTAAAGTATGTCTGGGATTTTGCCAAACCCACAATGTTTCTTTTTTTTTAATTGTTTGAAATAATTGATGAGTCCTTTACAGACTCTGCCAGCCTCACTAGGCAGAGTGAAGTATGACTGCTTATGTGACTTCGCCAGCCACCTCTCAACCAACACCAGGGTACACCAGGAGCCAAACTGTCCCACCTGCCTGGTGCCCAGGTTCCTCCTAATTTTCATGTGGACTTTTTCTGCTCACTTCCTGAGTAAGAGAGATGGCTGACTTATTCCTCTCTTTGGGGAGTATGAAAATATAACCCATTTGGCTGTTTAGCTGTTTGTTTTCCTAGATAAACATAAAAGGTAATTGAACAGAGACTGGAATCTATCCCTTGATGGGATCTGTATCTTGTGTTTACTTTTTAGTTTCCTCACTTGTCACCTGAATTAAAAAAAAAGGTGATGACCTGGTGTTCAGCCGCCAGCACAGCACCCCATCCCTGTACCAAGGGCCCCCCACTTGTCACCTGCAGAGACACTCATTGTCCTCTTCTCCCAGATAACCATATCTTGAGCAACAGTGCCTATCTACCAGCCACAGTTATTGAAAAAATATTTTCCTCATGTTATTATTAACCCAAAACTGCCACTGTAAGAAAACACAAATACATTGGGTTTAGAGCATTTGCAATAAAAAAAAAGAAAATATATTTTAGTTCTCCATTGCCATCTGTACCCAGTTAGTTCTAGGGCTCCTCTGAGTGGCTGACTTGTTGGGAATACTGCAGAGATGTCCCTGTCTCCTTGCCTGGGACCCAAAAGCCAGGATCCCAGGCGGGGAGTCACTAGCCTCAGGGATCTGAACAGCACTTAAAGGTAGAAAGACTTCCAGAATTGCTTCAGTGAAATTCTCCATGGATTCCTAATGTCATTTGAACAAATCTTTCCCAGATACCAGGCAGGCTGAACGACTCAATAGCTCTGAGAATCGTCTCAAACAGAAGACAAAGGGGGTTAAAGAGGCCACTGTCTCCCCAGCCCAGAGTTTCCAGTTCCTCTTCATCTGGGGCCTGCAGCCAGCTGGCCTGGTCCATTTAAGTCTGCAGCCACTTCAGTGGTTTCAATCTGCTGCAGCCACCCAAACACCTATTTATTTTTAAGAAAATTAAGTGAGTGTCGTCAGGGCTAAAGGGCTTAAAGGAAAATTGATTTTATTATTTTCCTGCTGTTTTTGAGTGTGGAGTGGATGGAAGTGATTATTTGGAGACCTATATAAAAATTCAGAAATTACTATTTTCACGTCAGGACTTTTGGCAACCATATTCCTGCATGTTTTGATCAGAGTAGGTGAGAAGGCCATTCCTTTTGTAGCATTTGAAAATAAGCTTGCTCTAGCTAGGGAAGCAGACAGAACTCTAGCAGATGCCTCACGAGACCAGAAATCTTGAGACAGCCATGGAAACAGTCTGACATTAATGAACATGTGCAAATGGCATAATAAACAGGAGGAAGAACTGTTTCAAAACAACCTGTGACCTCTTTTGTTTTATCCCTGCCGCACCCTCTGGTGGAGTAGTAACACAGCAAGAAAGTGCAGAGAAATGAGCTAGGCAGGATTAACAATTACAGCAGAAGGGGACTTTCTCCCCTTTTGTCTGATGTCATTCCCATTGTCAGGCACTGTAGTAATGATGCTACTGTGACAATAACTGCTCTTTGAAATGAACTGCGTCACTGGCTTATGTCCATTTTGTGCTCAAATGACCAAACATCAGCAGAGGTCAAGTTTCCAGGAGCATGCGTATATGCTTAATTCTATTTCCGGAAAGCAATCAAACAAGGGGCACTTAGGCCCTACAGTGGGATCCACTAAGAAACAAGACTGACAAGTTCACAGGCCATTGCTGACATAAGACCGATTGGCTATCCTGGACCATTCAGCAAACAGTTTACATAGGCAGCCTGGGCACTGGACTAAAACTAAATGCAAACTATCAGGAGAATTCCCTATAAAGTAGACTTAATCTATATTAGGGAGCAGGCTAATTATAGGATTGGCATATATGGAATCAAAGTGAAACACTATATGGGACTAGAGAGTGGTGGTCTTTTATACCAGGGTGGTCTGAAACTGGGGTTTAATGTATGTACAATATACAAACATTTTTGACAGACCATTAACACCTATAATCTCGTAAATATTTGCAATTTTCTAGATCATAAATATAGCTACATAAGCAGTTCTTTCAGAACATCATTTATACACCATTAAAGGTTAATTTACAAGTTAGTACCTTATAGAAAGAAGATATGTGGGCTTTATGCTAACTCTCTGTAAAGGGAGACTGGTGTCTCCAAAAGCAATTTGTAGCTCTCCTGTGGGTCTGACTGGGGTCCTATTCAAAGCACTATTTGAATTCTTTTCATCAGCTCATGTTCACAGGAACTTAATCTTCTGCTTGGGGTGGGGGTGGGGAGGAGCGGAGAAAGAAAACAGAGAGGAGAGACAGATCTGAGGTCTTCGGGCTGTACTTCCAAGCATCCCACTGTTTATTTGAATAGCCTCTCGTGACACCATTCTCATTTGTCATAGTCCCTCTGATACCTGCTGTTGTACCTTAAGGTCCATCCCAAAGGTCTTCCAACAGTTCTAGATTTAAAGACCCTGGAGAGGGTCCAACTAACAAAGTCTGACCTTAAGGTTGCCATCGTGTGACATTACATTTTGTAAAGACCAAATGGAACAAGGAAAAGTGTTTTGTCTGGGACTCCCCACTACCATTCCAGTCAGGTAAGACAGTGTTAAAAGACCAGGGTTCCTATGGGAACTGTCCACAAATCATAGGGACAGAAGGACGCCAGGGCACTCTGGGAAGAGGTTTGGTAAATGTGGGTCAAGTCCATGATGGGAAAGCCACAGAATGAGTTCAAGTGACCACAGCGAATTTGTGTTGTCTCTAAAGAAGCTGAACTGTGTAACTTTTTCAGTATGCTGGAGCCGCTTAGCCTCTGCTACAGGATTCCATGGCTATCGTTGCCCTTTTCTGAAATAGAAACGGCTGGGCCTGCTGGCTGTGTGCCTGGGTGGCCTGGCACGGGCATCTTTCGTGCATCAAAAGCCTACACTGCCTCTCAGACCTCTCAAATTTAGAGAATTCTTGTCTTTTCCAGCAGCTCTAGATTTCAGACGCACATTAAGACACCGGAAGCAAATTTCAAGAAGTTTTCATTCCACATAATGTTCTCCTTCTCTCCCTCTTTGTGGATTTGGGGAAGTTTCCCAAACTCATCCAATCTCCTCTGTGCTTTTCAGCCTTTCAAAGTCAACTCAGGGTAGCAGCACAGCACTCTCCCGTACGTGCAGTTCTTCCACAGAGTGGCAAAGAGAGCATTAAAGTTGGAGTCTGGAGGTTTGGGTTCTAAATGTAACTGCCACTATCTGACCTTAGAAAAATGACTTCTACTTGGGCCTCAGTTTTCTTATTTGTAGAAGTTAAAGAGATAGCTCCAAATCCCTTCTGTGACTCATAGTGTTATCTTCTGTGGTTCCTCTGGTTTGGGAACCATGCAATCTATTAGTCCTCCTCTCTTCCCTTTATAGAGACTTTGTTGTTTTTGCATAAATAGCATTACCCTCCTCAAACACTCCCATCTGCCCTCCACCTCTGGCCCTATCATCACATATCTTTTAGCATTGTTCTGTGGTATGCCCATCTGAACTGTAGCCATTCTGAACAATGTCTCTCCACTCTGTCTATAGTGCACACCTCCCTTTCCATACTAGTGTAATATTAAGTAATAATTATAATACATGTTGATACAAATTTGTGCATTTTGTGGGAATTAAAGATTCACAGGTATTCTGAGAATAACCCAAGATTTGAATCAGTGGGGCAGGTTTTAAAAAGAATGTTAGGCTGTGGCTGGGATTTGGAGAACCTAAACAGGATCTTCCCAGCCTGGAGTCTAAGTGGAAGGCTGTCTAAGCAAAGTTAGTTACCAAAGGGCATGCTATTGATGGGGGAGGGATACTCATTAAAAAGTGTGTGACCTTGAGGAATATCCTGTTTGCTTTCTTGTGGGACAATCAGAATAAGGAAATTTTGTAATCCACAAACAATGAAGTTTGGGTTTCTTGGCATTTTAAAATTGTGTTTCAGTCATAAATAATACTATTTGAGTGTTCAATATTAGAAATATAATCATTCTGAACCCTAGGATTGTTTACATGCTTGTTTCTTCCATTTCTGATCGGGGCCTCAGAGTTAGGCCTCGTGATACCAGCACTGTTGCATGCTTTACGTACACTGGAATCCACTTCTGTGCCCTCTGAGACATATTCTTGTTGAGTCATCATGAATCTCTATGCAGCTCCCATCTGCGCCCTTCCATCCTGCCTTCCCCTCTCTCCCCTCAAAATCACCCTGCCCTACGTGCCCATCACCCAAGACCCTTTTTGTAGCTTTCCCCGTAGCACTTAACTAAGGTGATAACCTACTCCTGCACATTGTTGGTTTCCACTAGGCTATTTGCTAGTTGTCTTTCCCAAGAGGCCCTACGCTCTATCTGTCTTTGTATGAATTGAGATCCCTAAGCAGTGTATCAGGCTGTATGACCTTAGCTCACTGTCAGTGTTCCTACAGAGCTGTGATCTCATACTGTGTCCTTGGTTTTTGTTGAAGGTCAGTAGATGAAACAGCGGTATAAAGAATGTTTCTTTATGTTTTGTAAACTTGTTGAAGATCATCCCTATGTTAATCACTGTTCCTCTTATAAGGAACCATGTGATCAATTTTTTTTCTAAGTGTTCAGTGCTAAAGAGAAAAAGAAATCCAATTAAACATTTTCTTGTATTTAATAGCTAAAAAGAGACACAGTGCTCAAGAATATTGAGGAAATGATTTTTTGTTAATTTGGGAAACAGACTCAGTATAATTTTCTCTCATTGCTACTTTGGTTACCAAGAAGTTCAGCATCTTGTCTTTCAGTGTCATCACTTCCTTTATCCCAGTCTCTGAGCTGGTCCCACTCTTCTTTCCATCTTTGAGCTTCAGCAGTCTGTTCTTGATCTCCTTACTTGGTATTCCCACTCTTCTCACGTGTGTATCTCTAATGCTTTGTGGAAGGAAGAGAAGTTAAAATAAGACATTACTTTCCCCAAGGAATATGTTACTTTGAAGGAGTGTTCTGGCTTAACACAAGGCCTATAAAAGGATGTTCTTATGAGAGGCTCCTCCAAAGAAAACAACAACAACGAAGAGGTGTTTAAACAGAGAAGATAAGGAAATACTATATACTCCAATTACCTTCTTGAGATTATAAGAGAATACTCAGAGAGTTAAATCTCAAAAGTAACACACTAAATGAAATAAATGTACTTGAATACATAGTTCCCTAACATGTGTTACTCAGCGGAGCTGGTGTTCCATCGAGCATACCTTGAAAACTTCTGACTTCATCCAGGTGGTGGATCCTAGTAAGAGGTCTTTCAGGTTCTGGGGTCAGCAAGTAGAGGTGATTCTGGGCCAGTGAAGAAAATGGAGAAGGATCTTTCCTTCTTCCCAGATAATACCAGAAGTAACATCCCCTCCCTCTCCGAGTGTGGAGGAGCATAAAACATCACTGTCTTTCATAATGACCATTCATGGTCGACTCACCCACTTTGCCACCCAGTACTAACACAGTACCAATTTCCTTACCCATTGAACCCAATGCTTTTGAGTAAAAGTAACAGAAGTTCTTTTGGAGGAAGCCATGGTTGGGTCCGGGGACTTGAATTATATTGTATCTGCTCCTTATTCCTTCTCTAGACTCATCTCACTGTCCACTGACATCATCTTAGTGTCTCTCTACATACTGAGCAAGCAACCTACTGATGATTTCAAGTCTACATGCTATAGACTAATAATCCAAATGTAAAAAAAAAAATTCCCTCTCTGTTGCTCAAATATCAAGTAACGTGAAAGTGCTGTGGTGGACCCTGTTACAAGGCCATATGCCCACCTTGTCAATCAAAATGTTGCACTGGAGTGACTGGCCTGGCTTAACTCAAGGCCCAATTATTCAGGGAGGGGCTAGTGACAAAAAAGTTGCAAGTCTACCCCATGAATATTAATATATGTCTTATCTGGGAAACATGAATTATCCTGTTTTGTGTAAAGGTCTGTCTTCCTTAGAGGGAAAAGAAAAAAGAAAGCTTCTTTCTTTCCACTTACATATTTAGCATTCCTCAGCTCTCACGTGTTTGTCATATACATTTTATCTCCCCAGCTAGATTGGAAGCTCTTCCAAGACAAGTATCATGTTTTCTCTTTATTTTCAATTCCTCCCCTCCTCCTTGGAATTCTTAACTTGTCTTCTCAGTCTATAAATTTATACTGAACAGCTATTGCATACCAGAAACTGCTCTAAGTCCTAGAGATTAAAAACTAAGTAAATAAAAATATAAGATGCTCAGAAAATGCTCTACAAGTAACTGAGGTCCATTCCTGCAATATTACCATGAATGTACCTTATTCTCTCAGTTACAAGCATTGAGGCATTTTTAGTGAGGTAGTGATAGGACTTGGGCCAACTGTTTCCTCCTTTGACCCTCAGATTTCTCAAAGGTGAAATAAAATGATTTACAAGATACTCTCCACGCATCCAAATTCAAGAGTTGTGAGTCATGATAGCCATGTCATATGAACAGAAAGTGGTACTGTTTTTTTTTTTTTACTCTAATTTTCTCATTCCGACTTAGATGACATCCTGCCCCTCCTATCACATAACAGATAAGAAGAGAACACAAATCCATTTCACTGTCCCCTCCTTCCACATCATTTCACTTCCAGATAAGTTGAATGTACCATTTGAAGCCACTCACAACCGTTCTTGTGCATTCAGTGTAAACAATCATTTGATTTCCTTGTGCTCTGTAATTTACATAGCCATAGCAGCAAGTCTTGGAAGCAAATACAGAAGCTGTTCCCATTTTACAGAGCAGAAAGCTGAAGTTGAGCTGTTGTAACTGCTGCCTCACCCAAGGTGCCACGACAGTGCCCTTGCTCAACTACACAAGGCTTCAGTACAGCCTAAAAGATGGAGGAGTCATCTCCTGCTATGCAAAGTCTGGATCCCCTGCGAGCCAAGTCTATGAACTTCTTGGGATATTTCAGTCAAAATGGCTTTGGTGAGCATAGTTCTTCCCCACAGCATAACAAGGCCTTTGGCAAGGAAACAAGGAATACCAAGAACACAGCGTCTGCAAAGACCATGTAGCAGAATGCCACATCGATCAAGCAGCTCTCAGGGTCTGAGGATGGAATAAATGAGAGCAGGGGAAAGTCGCACCATGTTCGGGGCCCTCTGCTCTGTGAAGTTCTCATTCAGGTCCTTTCAAAAACCCAGCCATGCTTTCCCTCATTCTCTGAATCCTTGCCTTTCATTTTTAAACCCAAGTGCCTGCAGACAAATCCAGTGCTCATGTTTCTAATTCATTTACACTTAACTCATCAAGCAATGTTTAAGAAGTGCTACATAGTGTCCCAACTTCTTTTGGAGTTTCTTTGTTTCCATTTAATGAGTCACTGTCAGCCTTGCCATATTGAGTTAAGCACATGACGCAGAGTGGGGCACCCATGATGCCTTATGCCAGCTTCAGCTCAGGGACCAAGAGAGACAACTCTGCTTAGCAGAAGCTCCTGGGCTCTTCTGCCGTGGAGATCCACAAGGGAAGCTCAAGATACGGCAGCTTGTCCTGAGCTACGCCTGTGTGGACTACTGCAATACCAATAAGAAGCAGATAGGGCTGTGGGCTTCTAGTAAAGGGTTTCCCTGTCCTGCCCAACCTCCAGGGTTAGAGGAAAGGAAGAAAAGCTACAGGATTACTGAATCAGAAGGAAATGATCACCCCAGGGTGAGAATCCTGCTGACCAGTCTGTTTCAGTTTGTTTTCCACTACAATAACAGGATATCTAAGGCTGGGCACTTTATAAAGAAAAGAGGCTTATTTTGCTCACAGCTTGGGAGGCTGAAAGTCCAAGATCATGTGACCCCATCTATTTGGCCTCTGGGGAGGGTCCTATGATGGATGCACTCACAATGGTAGGAGTGTGTGCAAAAGAGATCACACAGTAAGACATGAAACCAGAGAGATTCAGAGCCAGGCTTGCTCTTTTCTCTTTATAACAGCCCACTCTTGCAAGAACTAACCGAGGTACTGTGAGAATTATATTACTCTCTTTAGATGGCAGCACTCCCATTGGGCCTCATTTCTTATAGATTCCACCACCTGCCAACACAGCCACACTGGGGACTAAGTTCCCAGCACATGCATGTTTGGGGGGTACACTTATCCAAACCACTGCACTGCCCAAGCCTCCATCATCCCTCCCCGGCATGCCTGCAAGAGCTCCTGGCTTCTGGCTCTGCTTCCCCTTTTGACCTTGTCCAGCCCAGGCATAAATTGGAGCATGCCCCTCTCTGGGCTTGGAAACTGCCAATGCCTTCTAGAGAACTTGTAATAAAACCCAAATTCTTTCTGTGGCAAGATATTCATCTCAACTAAGCCTGTCCATCCACTCCAACCTCAGTCCCTACCACTCCCCCTTGTTCACTCTAACTGCAAACAACTTCTGTTTTCTGCCTTGAAGAAATCAAGCTCATTTCTTACAGGCTTGATCTGAGTAAAAAAGAATGTGAACTGAGAGTAGACAGCAGAACCCTAAAGGACGTTTAGGAGCCTCTGACCAAGGGAAGAATCAATGGGTGCTGAGCAGCAAAATTAACTTTTCTAATCGCATCGTAACAGGAAATTTGGGCTGAGAGAGTTTATTCAACTTTTAGATCACACACCTAGTATGTGACAGAGAGCAAGCCAAATGCAGTCTCTCATCTATCTGATCCTAGAAGAAAAACCAAAGAACTTATCCAGACCTCCAAAGAACCAGAACTAAGGTATCTCATTCTAGTCCCTCTGAGGCTGGTGGTCCTGGGTCTCCATGTAGTTCTGTGTGTTCAAGCTGAATGTATCCATTGAAAGGCCAGAAGATGAGATTCCCACTCTGGCTTGCAGTAGAACAGTCCTAAGATTGAAGTTATGGGATTGGGAAGGCAGGCAGATCGGGTTCAGATCTTCTCTCTCAACCACATTGCTTTAAATAATCACTTAAGTTCACTAAGCTTCAGTTTCCTCATATGTAGAATGGAGTAAGTAATAATTCCTTCTTCCTAGGGCTGTTTTGAGAATTACGTGAGGCCAATATAAGAAACCTGTTTACAGTTATATCCACCTCCAGGTTGGTGCCCAGGGGTGACTGGCTCTTACTGGGCATGAAAGGGCAGCACACACCACCTCTTCATGTGCTGTGTAACCACAGCTCCTCACCTCTCTTCAAGAAGTGCTTGTTTACAAGTTCGGATTCAATATTTAACACTGAGCTTCACTCTATTTGCATTGAACTATGGCGAGTTCAGCTTCCAGCTGTGAGAGAAAAGGAGGCTTCTCAAGAAAGTGCACCCTAAGCGCCATCGGAGGAATGTTCTTAGGTTACCCCCACCAACCAGAAGTGGGGACCTTCCCTCCTCTAAGGGTCATTGGGATGCTTAGAACATCATTCACTGGCCATACCAAGTGATCGACTTAAAAGTTGGCCTGATGTAGATGTACTGAATTCTAAGTCCTGCCTGTGGTTGCCTAGGCAGGGCCAGGCCAATGACTTCTCAGGCCTGATATAGCCAGCAGGCCAGAAGTTCCCCACCCCAGAACCAAAAAGCCAAAAAATGATAGACCGTGAGTGCTGTTCATGCCAGTTTCTCACTGCCATATAAAGGAATGATCACCGTTTTGTGTCCAGTTTTTATTAAAAGAGTTAAACAACTGTTGGCTTTCTTCTTGAATTTCCTTAGGAACAATTCTCAATACAGGAGTCAATTCTAGGCTCTTTTTATGCCTAGAAGTCAAACTGTCTTATTTTTTCACTCAATTCTAATTGTTCCTACAATATTCAATAGTATTCAGTGGGAAAAGACCTCTTTGAGTCTATATGATTAAAATTAAAGTAACCTTCATCTCATTCTGGTGTGATAACCAGACATTTCCTAGACAAACTTTGGTAATAAAGAGTATATGAATGTACAATTCCAAATATCACAAGTTTGACTCCTGGGGCATCAGTCTTGTAAATTCTTTGCTTCCATTCAAGACCATTTCTTGTTTATAGATCTACAGTTATCCTGTGGTAGTATAACAAGGTAATAATAACATCAGCTTTCACGTACTGAGTACTCATGATGTGCCAGGTACTGCCCTAGGTACTTTATGAACATTTTTTGATATAATTCTCACAGTAACCCTGAGAAGTAAATACAGCCATCCCTCAATACCTACAGGCAATTACTCCACAGATGCTCAAGGCTCTTAAATAATGAATTATTGGAATACAACCTACACATATTCCCCTACATACTCTAAATCATCTCTAGATTACTTGTGTAAATGCTATGTAAATAGTTGTTTCTTAAGTCTGTGCATGTTCAATTCAGAAACATCTTTTTTTTTTCTTTTCCAACATTTTGATTTGTTGTTGGTTAAATCTGAAGATGCCAAATCAGAGATTACATAGTGTCCCCAGTATTTGTATCCCCATTTTACAAAGGATTGCATTAAAGTTGAAAAAATTCTGCCCAAATTCTCATGATTATAAGTAACAGAACCAGATAAATTCTAAATGCAGAGAATTGCAAATCTTCCACTGCTTTAAAACTGAGTTTGTAATCTGAGTTTGAGTTTTAAAGATCTGTCTCACTGCCACAAAATCATACTTTTAGTCAATATGGTATATCCAAATAATCAACATATGGGTTTGATCAAAGTCCAAAACCAGAGGTGTAGGTAAATTTTTATGTAAGAGTGTAAATGACCAATAGATAGTGTTTGTGGTAGTGAGATGGTGGCCCACCACCCATGACGTCATCACGGGTGACCTTTTCAATCTACAACACTTGGAGTAAAGCCTGGAGGGGATACCCACTGTGTGTGTCAGCTTGTCTGTTAGCAGTGATTTCTCTATTAAGAAAGCAAATATTTATGGAGAAAATAACAAGAAATTCACTGGCTCTTTATTATCAACAGGTAACTTCAAAAGTGATTCTAAACAGAAGCGCCTTTGAGTCACTGTAATGATTAATTTTATGTCAACTTGACTAGATTAAGGAATTCTTAGAAAACTGCAGTGTGTCTGTGAGCGTATTTCTTACCAAGATAAGTGTTTGAATCTGACTGCACTAGGTGGGACGACCTGTCCTCCAAGTGGGCAGGCGCCACCCACTGGCTATGGGTCTGAAGAGACTAAATAGAGAAGGCAATTTGGTTTCTCTCTCAGAGAGCTGGGACATGTTCTCGTCCTGCCTAGGATGTGAGCTGCTGGCCTTTGGACTCCAAGATTTAAACCTGTAGTCCCTGTTGCACCCAGGCTTTTCATCTCCAAGGGATGTTGCTGTCGATTCGTTCTGAGAGAAGGAGCGCGGTGGGGGCAAGAGGTGCGGAGTCGCCACACAGACGCCAGGAGTCGGTGAAAGCAGGCCAGAGGCGAGCAGCCTGCAGACTCGTTTATTTCAGTTCGTAGAGCAGCTTAAATAGCTGAGGCAGCCAATCTGGTCAAGGGGAGGTTTATGCCCTAACCAGTTTCCAAAGCCATCCAATCACAGCCTGTTGCCAGGCAGGCTCTGTTGCCAGGTGGGTTTTGAAGCCATTCCTGAATAACTGACGCTCGCTTGCCAGCAGCCATATTGGCATGGCCTTCTCATTCCACCACAAATGGAAACTCATACTCTCGTCTTCCCTGGTATGGAGACCCTTGGACTTGGATTGAGCCGTGCTACTGGCATCCCAGTGTCTCCAGTCTGCAGACAGCCTACAGTGGGACTTCCCAGCTTCTATAATCACTTGAGCCAAACCCCCTAATAAATTCCCTCTACACACACACACACACACACACACACACCTTCTATCAATATTTTATTTCTAGAGAACCCGACTAAAACAGTTAATTGTCTATGGCAGTATCAAAACGATCAAAGCAGCTTACTCTGAAACTTTAACTCATGTACTTGCTTCTTTGTCAGCCTCTCTAGCATTCTTTTCTTTTTTAAAAGATTGTGTGTGTGTGTGTGTGTGTGTGAGAGAGAGAGAGAGCGAGCGAGCCCCCGCTCACCCATCTATTGGTTCATTCCCCAAATGACCAACTGCTGGAACTGGGCCAGGCAAGGGGCTGGGAACCCAGTCCAAGTCTCCCGAGTGAGTGGCAGTGACTCAAGTATCTGATCCATCACTGCTGCCCCCGGGGTAGGCATTAGCAGAAAGCAGGAATTGGGAGTGCAGCCAGGACTTGTATTGGGGTGCAGTATCATAACCAGAAGGCCAAACGCCCATCCCTCCAATGTGCTTAAAGATAACCACAAAGGAATACAACTCAGGTTTCCCCCTTCTCAGTCATCCCCTTGGCTCTAAGCCTTCCAAAATCCCCAAATTAGGTATTAAATACATGTTTATTCCATCATGATTTTCTTCTCTAATCTGTGAGATAAAAATAACAGAGGGGCATATCTATTTGTGGTCTTATTTTATCCTCTGCCATCCCCAAAGTAAACTCAGGGATGCCTCCTCCTCCTTCATTCGATCCAGTACAAACAGGGCTGCTTTGAGGGTGGACCCCACATACAGCTCCAGTTCAGAGCAGTCACTGTTGCTTTAAGAATACACAGACTGACTCTGAATATGCTGCTAGCACATCACCAGTATTTAAAAAAAATTCTATTTCAAAAACAAGAGAATGGATCTTTTACTGGCAACAGTAATTCTGAGAGTTGATGGCCAGTAGACAACTTGAATGACAGCTTGAAAGATGCCTGGTGACAAAACACACATAATCACAAGCAAACCTTAAAAGCTGCAGCATCAGAGCTGAGTGGGTACATGGGAACAGTCATCTTTTGTCTTGAACGGCCCTGAAATGAGAAAAACCGTGAAACTATGGCGTTTATTCAACATGAAGCTTAAAGGTGAAAGATCTATTTAGAGTGTTGTTTTTTTCCTGAAGATTTAAAATGAACATTGTTTGACTCTTAAAGTAAAAGCCATGAAACTTTTGCTGGAGACATTTTAATCTGGCCCTAAGTTTTTCTTCTGTAGTCAGACACTTGATTTTTAACACTTATTGGCACCCCTCCAGGTGCCATACACTGTGCTAATGACAGCACAGCAAGCAATCTTCTGCTGGAAAAAAAGGTACTACAAATTCTGATATACACAATGGAAATAACTAAAAATTATATAACATTAGTTTTTCTACATACTGTCCTATAATTTCACTTTCCAAACAGAAGGAAGTTGAATCCCAGAACAAATGTGCCTGCTGGGTATTGTTCTTTTTGCTTGTGATGTTTAAAAGCAATTTTCCCTAAATTCAAATAGAAATTGCTAAAATTGAAGTTTGTCTTATTATCAGACATTCTGTGTTTTCACCCAAGAAGCATAAAACTTCAGGCTTCATAGTGCTCCTGTAGGTCTTGGTGTTTTCATAGCTTGAAAATTGACAACACAAAGACAGCTATTGACTTGGCATTGGGGTAGAATAACACACCTGGTCCTAATGCTTATGTTTTTTCTTCCAATCGCCACCCCCCTGGCCCCCGCCTGTTCTTTCTCTTTGTTACTTCCCTGAGGAAATTCATATATAGAACTTTGTTGAACACAAAGAACTGGATAACATTCTCTCATGGCAAGAAAGTGGCAGCTCTGTAGTTTTGATTTGGAGTTTCAGTAGTTGTTGTTTTAAGGTTTACATAATTTTTTCAGCAAATATTTGACATTGTGTGAAAAGTAGGTTTATAGTGAGTCCTTTTTTTTTTAAATATAGCACACTCACTTATCATTTCTGGGCCTCAATTTCCACACCTACAAGTTTGAGCACTAAACCAGGGATTTCCAGAGTGGTTTGCACATTGGAAGCAGCAGTTTTAAAAGTCCTGATGCTTGACGTCGGTGTTGTAGTGTAGCAGGGTGCCTGCATCCCATATGGGTGCCAGTTCGAGTCCTAGCTGCTCCACTTCCTACCCAGCTCTCTGCTAATGCAGGTGGGAAAGCAGCAGAAGATGGCCCAAGTGCTTGAGCCCCTACATCCACATGAGAGACCTGGAAGAAGCTCCTAGCTCCTGGCTTTAGATTGGCCCAGCTAGCTGTTGTGGCCATTTGGGGAGTGAACCAGCAGATGGTTCATATACATACACACACGCATACATATAATCAAATAATTTTTTTAAATAAGTCCTCATGCCCAAGGTGCATGCCAGACCAGTTAAGTCAGAATACCTTCAGATGGGAGCCACATACTCTTAGGTGGTATTAAAGATTCTCAGGTGATTCCAATGTACAATAAAGTTGGGGAACCACTACCAAAAACTACAATCCATCCAAGGTTATTTCTGAGCTCTAGTATTCTAACTTCTCTGGCTCTGTGAGCTTCAGTGTGCTCATCTCTGTCATGGGACTGCAGCTATAGCTTTGATGCAATCCCAATCCAAATCTGTGATGGTTAATTCTATGTGTCAACTTGGTTTGACCAATGGATGCCCTGACAGGTACTACATCTTTATTTCTAGGGTTTTTTTTTTATTTTTTATTTCTATGAGAGTATTTCCATGGAACATCAGCACTTTACTTTTACCAATGTAGGTAGATGTCATCCAATCCATTAAAGGCCTGGAAAGAATATAAATTTAGGCAGAAGAAGGGGAAACTAGCCCTGTCTTCTTGAACTAGGACATTCATCTCCTGCCTAAAAATATCAAAGCTCCTGGTTCTTGGATCTTCTACTTGAGAACTGACACAACTGTCCTCTTTCTTGTCTCTTCTAGTTCTCTGGCCTTTGTACACCAACAGCTCCCCTGGTTCTCAGGTCCTTGAACTTGAACTGAATTACATCACAAGTTTTCTTCTCTGGCTTGAGGATGGCACATTTTGGAACTTCTCAATCTCCAGAACTGCAATAGCCAGTTAGCCAAATCCCATAATAAATATCTTGTTTATCATATATATAAATATATATAGAGATAAGATTATATATATATATATCTTATTGGCTATACTTCTTTGAAGTATCCTATATAAAATCTTGGTAGGATTTTTTTGTTACTGAAATTGATAAGCTGATTCTAAAATTTTTATGAAAATGGAAAAAATTTTGAATAGCCAAAGCAATCTTCCAAAAAAAAAAAAAGAATAAAATTGGAGGCTTTCAAGCTATAGCAGTCCAAGTATATAGTATTAGTGTAAGCATAGACAAACAGATCAAGAAAATAGGTGGTCTCATTTATACAATCAAATTGATATTTCAACAGAAGTACCAAAACCATTCAATCAGGAAAGGGAATATTTTCAATGAGCGGTTCTAGAACAACTAGATAATAATTTGGGGGTGGGGACAGGAAGAATCTCACACCCCATTTCACAACATATACAAAATTAATTTTGTGAGGACCATAGAGCTAAGTGTATAAGTTAAAAGTACAAAGTTTCTATAAGAAAATATAAGATAGAATATTTGCAAATAATTCTCAAATAGAACACCAAAAGTAATAACCACTTAAAAAAGATAAGTTGTACCTCATCTAAAATGTCAAGTCTCTCCCTGCCTGCTTCCCTCTCTCTCGCTCCCTTCCTCCCTCGCCTTCCCTCTCCTTCCCTCCATATATATACCAAGTATCCTCAAGCATGTAGAGCAACTGGAATTTATATATATTGCTCATGAAGTGTAAAATGCTATACTTGCATTGGAAAATTATTTGGTAATTGATGGTAAGATTTAAAATAGACCTTTTTATGACCCACCTATTCAATTTCTAATTGTTTACCTAAGAGAGATGAAAACTCATTGCCCATAGAGAGATTTGCACAAACATTTCATAGGATCGTGGTTCATAATTCAAAAACTAGAAGTGCGAATATCTATCAGTAGATACAAGGATAAAAAAATTTTGATACATTCAGTCTTAGCAATAAAAGGAATAAACTACTAATGCAAACAACATAGATGAGTCTCCAAAACATGTTGAGTGAAAGAATCCAGACACATGGGCTGGCACCATGGCTCACTTGGCTAATCCTCTGCCTGCGGTGCTGGCATCCCATAGGGGTGCTAGTTCTAGTCCCGGTTGCTCCTCTTCCAGTCCAGCTTTCTGCTGTGGCCTGGGAGGGCAGTGGAGGATGGCCCAAGTCCTTGGGCCCCTGCACCCACATGGGAGACCAGGAGGAAGCACCTGGCTCCTGGCTTCGGATGGGCACAGCGCTGGCCATAGCGGCCTTTGGGGGGTGAGCCAATGGAAGACCTTTCTCTCTTGTCTCTCTCTCTCACTGTCTATAACTCTACCTGTCAAAAAAAAAAAAAAAAAGTACCTGGATTCAGTGTCTGGCTCTGGCTTCTGACTCAAACTTCCGGTTAATGCAGACCCTCAGAAGCAGTAGTGATGGCTCAAGTAATTGGGTTCCTACCACCCACGTGAGCTGGAATGAATTTCCTAGTCCCTGACGTCAGCCTCTGGATGTTGCAGGCATTTGAGAAGTCAACTAACAGGTGGCATCCTCCCAAGCCAGCCGCACCCACCTCTTAAACTTTTTAGAAAACAATAAAAAATTTGAAATCTCATCAGACTATACACTTAAAATGGCTATTTAAATTATACCTTGCAAACTAAAAATAAAAAAACTATAAAGCACTGTATAGGCACTAGGAAGTGTTCAGAAGTTTAAAATCTTCCAAGAGAAAGGTGAGTTTGGGATGGTTACAGTATTCAACTGATTCTAAACCATCATATGGAACTGAGTATATAGTTCTTATCTGCAAATTTGATTTTACTGAAAAATTAGTTTATTTCATAATTTAGAAAATGAATGCAGTTCCCTCTAACCTACTCTACCCATTTTTTTTTAATAAAAAAGGCCTTCTATTAATAGTGATGTATACATAGAATCTTGAACCCCACAAAGTGTTAGCACGTTCACTTTAGGTATTACTATCGTTGGCAGTTTATTAAGACATCTTTGAATTGAAGGAGAAAAAACAGACATTTAAGAATGTGACATCAGATATAGCATTCTATAGATCAAATTCTAATATCCACATAACAATATGAAAATATGTGCCTGAAGCTAAAAAGGTGAAAAATGATTTATCTTTATTATGATACAACAAAATCTCAAAAAATTCCCCAGGAACAAAATTCCTGACCTCTAATCTCTAGTTCCCATTCATTCTCTCTCGCTCTCTCTCTCTCTCTCTCTCTCTCACACACACACACACACACACAAACACACACACACACACACACATACACCCCTACCTCTATACACCTTGCATAAAGCATTGGGAAAGCATTAGATCATGACAGGTACCAACAGCAGTGTTAACTCCAAATCCATACACCCAGGAGAAAACTTGTCTTGGTCCCTCATCTCTAAACTACACACACCCATGACCAAAAAAGTATAAAGGGCTACTCTGGATGGAAGTGCTAGAAATAGCGTGGCAGGCTTGCTCCCACACCAGCCTTCTTCAGGAGCTTTTTTTTTTTTTAAACATTGATTTTATTTATTTGAAAGAGTTAGAGAGAGAGGTAGAGACAGGGAGAGAGAGGTCTTCCATCTGATGGTTCACTCCCCAGATGACTGCAAAAGCCAGAGCTGCGCCAATCTGAAGCCAGGAGCCAGGAGTTTTGTCCAGGTCTCCCACGTGGATGCAGGGGCCTAAGGACGTGGGCCATCTTCCACTGCTTTCCCAGGCCATAGCAGAGAGCTGGATTGGAAGAGGAGCAACTGGGACTGGAACCAGTGCCCACAGGGGATGCCAGTGCTTCAGGCCAGGGAGTTAACCTGCTATGCCACAATGCTGGCCCCTTCTTCAGGAGCTTTTAAGATGGCAGGTATGTGCTGTCTGGCATAGGTGATCAGCCTC